TATAAATACCTAAAGGGTGGGTGTCAAGAGAGTGGGACCAGACTCTTTCCAGTGGTGCCCAGAGACAGGACAAGGGGCAATGGGCACAAACTGGTACACAGGAAGTTCTGTCTGAACATGAGGAAAAACTTCTTTACTGTCAGGGTGACAGAGCACTGGAACAGGCTGCCCAAACAGGTTGTGGAGTCTCCTTCTCTGGAGATATTCAAAACCAACCCGGACAGGATCCTGTGCAACCTGCTCTAGGCGATCCTGCTCTAGTACGGGAGTTGGACTAGATGATCGCTAGAGGTCCCTTCCAACCCCTACCATTCTGTGATTCTGTGAATACAACTTAAATCACATCCCAGAACATGATTACCATCTAGTAACGAGTAAGTTCTGATTTTTTTTTAAACAGATAATGTTTGCTAGATTAGGGGAAAAAAAGGAGGAAAAAAAAAAGAGATAAGTTACAAAGATCCAGGTGTACCAAGTTTCATAGGGGATCATAATTCTGTGTTCCAGAGAACACAGCCGAACCAACAAAGTAACAAAGTTCAGGAACAAACACCATAATGGGTTAGTCCCAATTCAGCTGTAACTGCAATCAAGAACTATCAGAAATAGTTATAACAGTTTTTAAAATCTCTTATGCCACAAGTCTTACCTTTGCTATACATATCTCCAGTACTAGGGTTTGTAAGAAACGGCAGGAAGTCATCAAAGTGACTTTGCATATACTTTGCTGTTTGGTTCCTCAGAGTTGCAACAGTCCAGGAATTCTGGTGATCCTTGAGCTGATCTTCAATAGCTCTGTACATGCAATGGCCATCTGAAGGGATCTGTTTGATCTCTAAGTGCCTTGCTGCCAATAGGGAAGCAAGTTTCTGACTTTCAAGATGTCTAGCACCCGTTAAATTTTCTATCTCTGCTACAGCTATCCTTTCTTCTCTTTCTTTCTCCAAGGCAGCTTTTTTTTCCTTAGATTAAAAACACATAAAAATTACATTAAATGGTATAATTTAGAAGATGCTGGTACAGTTCCTGGCTTAGTGCTTGCTTCTAACTCTTCAAATGTTTCTCAGTACATTCATATCTGTGAAATGTTCTCCCGAATTAGTACTACCAGATCTTAGAGATGTCCTAAACCCAAACTTTAGCAAATGGTGACTAATATATCCTAATTGCCTCTGACACCACACTCAAAATTATGTGATGGGAGAAATTTTAATTACATCAACATGCAAAAATAACACTTTACAACACCCATACAAAGGCTATTAAATAGCAGTCCTTTCTTCAGGATCACCTATTTCACCACATTGGCAAACAACACAAGCATGGGAATTGTAATTAAATAACAGAAAATATTGCTCTTTCATAATAAGTGTGAGATCTACCACTTACGCGTATGATTGCATAATGGAGCTCATGTCATGAAACTGAAACTCCCTCAGGCTAGGTACTATACATCATAAAAAACTGCTCCTAACCTAAAGGACGGATACAAATGCATACAGAGAATACTAGAGGGGATGTAATAACACATAACACAAAAATGACTTTTATAGAATGCTTTGTAAGTTTACACTTAAGTTAACAAGGGAATAAGAGTCAAAGTAAATGAGCAAATAGAAAAGGAAGCAGTACAGAAAATGATCTTTTCACTTTTGCACTTAAAATTAAGCACAGATCAAGACCAGACTGGTTTAGGCAACCACAATTTAAGAAAACTAGACTACAGAGTCTAGTTTGCCTAGACATGGTGCGATGAATTAAGAACATCCTTTCATCATGTTTGTTACACGGCAGCTCTGCAGTAGCAATCATGTAATGGGGGATGGACTCCGCAATAAAGCACTGCTCCTCTGGCCCTGTACCAACGTTTATGCAGGTACAATGAGAATGTTAATCCATCGCCATTTAACATCTGAAGCTTAACAAGATTTAACCCTAATGGTCTGGATACCAGGTAGTGTTTCTTAACAACTCAAAAATTCACAAGAATTTCAGTATTAAAGTTCTTTTGTTAAATGTGTAAAGTTCTACTACTTGCATATTTTCCACATATTTTACATTATTTGAATTCAATTGCTTTATTTCTCTATTAACGATTTTAGTGAAATTCTTTTAAAATCATTTGCTTCACATCATTTGTTTTTCCTGGCTCCCGTCTCCTGACCTATTCTGATTCCCAGCTCATGGCTGAGGGTAAAAAAGTACAACTATTTATAAAATGCTTACATATCTCTAGGTAGCAGCTTTACAGATTTCAAGGCACCCAGTAAGTACAGCATCAATACTGAATTAGCCCGGTAATGTCCTCTGCAAAATTGTTTAACTTTGGTTATTGCAGTTAATTGAATATAACTTGAATCAAATATTTGTAAAATTTTCAAATGTTAAGTCATACCCGCCTCTTCTGTGCTTTTGATATTCGAGGATGCTGAATCTGTTGCTCTACTCCTTCAAGCTCTAAATTTGCAACCCCATCAGCTATAGATTCTGTCTAAAAAGAAAAGAAAAAAAAAGGTTAAGTGTTATTAGTATAAATGATAACTGAGATGTGCATTTCCTGAAACAGTTTTAAGTTCTGTTCCTAAGTAATCCCAGGATATATTTATGACATTTAACCATGATGATCTGTGTACAGCACAGAACCCGTCAAAGCCAAAAGTAAAGCATTTCACATCCCAAACCACTGTCATGCGTTATATTACTTTTTCTATGGTCTCAACAAAGAGACAGTTATGAACTGCACATCTCAAATTTAAGGCATATATTCTCTTACAAGCTTCCACACTGAAGTGTGAACACTGCTTACTGGCTGAAAGGGAAAGTTTTCCTCACCATACCAGCCAACTGAAGTATGCTGGTACTTCATTAGCAAGTTCTGTGACAATTAAAGCAGGAGAAGGTTCCACCTTCCATACCAAAGCACAACCAGCAGTTGGAAAAGACAGGGAGTTGACACTTCAAGAAAAATGACAAAGCTAACCCCATAACAGTATGAACTAGATATGACTCTTGGAAGCATAGGCATGTTTCAGTCTGAACAAAGAAGGTGAGAAGTGAAAGAAACCATACACCTCAAAACAAAATCCTCTCAGGCAAAGCTATGTCCAGGGTAAAGGATTTTAGCTTGAAAGGTCCTCCATCATAAAGTTTTGACAGTTCATTTAGCAAAACAAAACAAACTCTTGAAGCTAATCTAAGACACAGGTAAACAGAAGTATTATGTTTAATGCTTATGCACTAATCATCTACTTAAGCATCCGATTAAGAACTACTACAGAAGATTGTTACAGGGTCGTAACTCTTGCAATTGAAAACTTTTTCTTCACAAAGATTCTCAGCAGATGCTTCTCAACCAAGTCTATTTCCCTAAAAGTAATTCAGAAATGTTTTAATTCCCATTTTCAAACAAAAGTACATTCTGCTTAACTCTTTGTTGGGTCACTAATCAGAAAACGCCTAGTCCAGAAAGTGTCAGGCAGACAGGTTTTTGTTTCTTTACAAGATTTAAACAGCCAAAAGACACACACTGTTAGGGAAACACCTAAGGAAATGTATGAGCATGGAACATTAGCATTATTCACAGATAACTGTATTGCACTAATTTAGCCATAAGCTCTATTCCTGTTTAGGTAGGAGAAAGTATATGAACACGCCCACTTGCACAAATGGTCCTTAAATTCAGGCACATGATACTAAGAGTCTTTTCAGTACTGGGTATACAGAATTAAGTCTATGTATTGCAAATTTGCTACGGCAGGAGTTTCCAACACTCTACTTATTAATTAAATGTTAAAACACAGGTGAATTTTTGTATGTCACACAAGTATTTAAGAGTATCTAGTTTACTTTGGTGGTCTTATTTCCTGCAGCTAAATTTGAATAATGCTAAGCCTCTGTTAAAAATTAGTTTTCTATCAATCAGCAAACTGGAAACATTTAAGTATGTAGCTATGTTGCCAACACGGCAGAACAGTAGCATTTAAGATGACCATTCTCATCACCACAGAAAGTGTCTTCTCACAAAAAGGTCAGTTACACTGTTGACAGAATTGCAAGAAAAAGCATACCGCATCAGTCAAATGCCTACTGAAGGCCAACAATACTCTAGTAGTCTATATAAGATGAGTGACAATATAACAGGAACTTAAAAAAAAAAATTCTTTAAGATGACTGAGCTACTAAGGCAGCCTTAAGAGCAAACACTGCTCAACAACAGCAACAAACCCCTGCCATTAAATACCCTTTCTAGCAATGCCCACCCATCATAACAGCAGAATCTTTCCAAAGATGGAAAGAATTACTAACACTGCGAGGAAAAAAAGAAATACTTTAAAGTGTTACTTCATTATAATTTTTAAAAGTTAAAGAACACAAATTGTGTCTGTACAACTTCAACTAAAGTTAAGGCACCTACCTTATTCTGCTCAGGTAAAGCTTCCTTCAGCTGCTTTAATTCCTCCTTGTGCTTCTGTTCAAGTTCTGCCTCTAGTTTGGCAACTTCATCAGCCAACTGTTTTCGTCTCTTTTTATCATTCTTGGGAACAGCATTTTTCATGCCTTGAATTTTTGCTGTTAGAGAAGTAGTGTAATAAAACATTACCTCTAAATATAGATACTCCACAGTCATTGTAGAAAAGAAAGCTGCAAGTCACACAGAAAAAAATTTACAAATATCAACATACTAGTACGTTTTAACAGTTTAGCTCTGAGACTACCTGTTATGATCACATTTTAAAGCAGCTATATTTTTCTTAACAGATGCAAACATTATATCTGAAGAAGAGAAAAAATATGTATAATAGTAACCTGGCACAAGTTATGAACTTCATCAATGCAGCAGACCTCAGCCTGTTGCCTTCAAAAAGATTATTTGGGCATTGAGATCTCAAATCCTGTCGCAGGAAAGATGTGTAAATTTTTAATCCCACAAGCAGCAGATTAAAAGTAAAAACAGAGTCTACCCATCCTTAAAGTTTCTAAGAGCAAAATGTGTATTCAAGAACAAAACCCCTCAACTTCCTTCAATTCCATAAGTATTTCTAGGCTGTAAGTCAAGGCTCCATTTCTCAAATCATAGAATAGTTTGGTTAGAAAGGATGTCCAGAGGTCATCTAGTTCAACCTCCTGCTCAAAGTGGGGCTGAATTCAAAGCTACATCAGGTTACGTTAATTCAGATTGATCTGGAATTTATTCAGATTACTGTGCAAAGTCTCCAGGGATACACATTCTGCAACCTTTCTGGGCAGTTTTTTTTCCAATGTTTAACCGTTCTTGTTAGGAAAAATATTTTCCCTTTTTCCTCCCATGAGGGTTTTTCTTGTTATCACTTTCAGCCATTGTCTCTAGTCTATTCTCTACGCTCTACTTTGAAGAGTCTCGCTCCATTCATTACACAGTGGAAACTACAAACAGATCCCCCATAGTCTTCTCTTCTCCAGGCTGAACACAGCTTTCACAGCTTGTGCTTTTACATGAACACTCCCTGCTAGCTCTCATCAATTCACTGCTTTAGAGTTACAGCACCAATAATTTAACACTCTGCTTGCTATTCAACACCTGTACATTTTCCTGTGCTTTACCCTTGGCTAACACAGTTGAGCTGAAGATGATGGCAACGATAATGAAACTTTTTGAGAGGAGGCAGCAAGAATGCTCACGCTGAAAAATTTGTTAAGCATTCAGCCTCACAGATGAATCAGCTGAGTTTAACTGACAGAGAAGCAGTTTTGTTCATAAAAATTAACATAAAGGGGAATTAGAAAAGCCTAGACTTCAGCAGCACACAAATACACAAGGAGAGTATATGTGGGGTGGTAGAGACATGGATCATCAACTGGAGGAGATGCTGGATTTTCAGAGACTGAGGTGCACCTTGTGTTAATTCTTACAATCAAACCGTTTTGCTATCTGTCAAACAGTTAATCATTGCACATATCACAAATGTGTTTTTCAAGTAGAAGAATGCGTGCCTATAGGTCACCTGCCTCTCAACTGGGAAGACTGGGGCTCTGTCTTCTGTATGCCCCTCCCACCTTAGGTAGTGGAGGACTGCAATTAAATATCCCCTTATCACCTTCCACCACGGTGGAAAAACCCTCTTGTTCCTCAGCCTCTCCCAATCAATGTGCCATGTGCTCCAGCCACCTAACCACAGTGCTTGATTGCTACCCCTCTTTGAAATTCCAACCAAATTTGAGGGAGGAAAAGGCATCTCAAAACAGTAAGTTCCTATAGATTTACTGTCGATATGCAATCCAATTGTGTCTCTCCTCTTCTTAAACCCCCTAACTGATAAAAGGCTGCAGATGGGCCTATTTCATTGCATGCCAAAAATGCCAAACAAGGAAAAGGCCATACCAATATACTAGCAATGAAAAAGACTTAACAAAAAGGTTATAATCAACTGTAAAACTCAAGCCAATAGAATCTAGCCAACAAAACTACTTAATTATATTCATCTACTGTAATAGGGTAAGTAAAATGTGGGTCATGAACAGTTCATATGTAGCACTGCAAGACCACACAGGTGTTCTGCTATAGGTACTTCGCTATGGCTGGACAGAATGTGAAAGTTCATTTCAGGTCAACTGCACTTTGGAGAAAGTTAGCTGCCTGGGCAGCAAGGATCCTTATACAGGCTTTTCAATCTAGGATACCTTACAAAAACATACCTCCTTTAACTTAAAAGAAAATTAGCAAAATGTTAACGTCTGGCATTATGTTACAGCTCTCAAGCATGGTTAGGCTCCCAAGATTACGCTAAGGCGAGCTCAGCAGATCGCCTGCTTGGCCAGAACCACCCCTGGCAGCAAAGCACAGCTTCGACACCCCTGCCGCGGCGCGGTGTTTTCCGCACCGGCGTCCTCTTCCCCTCGCTAGGGCAGCGCAAGGGCTGCTCCCTGCTTCTCCACAGCCGTGCCGTGCCGAACGCGCCCG